TCAGCGCCTACTGCTTTTCAGCGGGGTCCTTGTTTTTTAGCATCACCATGCATCACCTGTCGGCGCACGCGCCTCGTCTGAAGCTGAGCCCTGGAGTCTCACCCACGTCCCTTCTGATGGCGGCAGCACACTGCGACCCCTTCAAAGCGAGGGTCATTTGCAGGATTCCCTCTGATAGAACATGGCTTCCAAAAAGGAGCGTCTCGCAATCTGTCGACCCAAATATGGTTTGATATGTACCTGAATAGTCTGCTTGGCCTCAGCCTCATGTGGAGCTACATATGATTTGCTTCGAGAATGACGTGTTGTGGTACATTGTTAGGACCCTTCAAATCCATGGCAAATTCCAGGCTTCCCAAAGATAGAATATGAGTAGTTTGATGGCGCGTGTGCCCAAAATAAATAATCTGATATGGTTTGATATGTCCCCATTGGCGCGGGGACGCATTGCGACGGGCCTCAGCAGCCTGCACGTTGTCTGGAGTCCATCGCCAAAATGGCACATCGCATGTTGGCAGCAAACGCCGTTCTGGGATATGTCGCTAGACACCCCCCAACTTGGCAGCAATTCGCAGAGATGGGTACAGTGTTTTGATCATGTGACGAATGGTTTCTGATTGTCGGTGACTAGTCCAACAAATATCATTAAGTGATCTTGGAGGGCAAGGTGGTTCAACAAAAATCCCCGAAAGATCTTGAAGTGGGAGGCGGTGTGTCTTATTTTGCTTATTTTCTGCATGTAGTTACGCCTTATAGTTGCGTTCTGTAAGCGCCCTGTGTCCCGCCTCGGCGACGAAACCAGCTGGAATTGGCATGTTGGCAGCAAGTGACGCTTTGGGGTACATGGTTCAAGTCGATGGCGAATACCAGGCTTCCCAAAGATAGAATCTGACCCGGCAAGAGCATCTGTCGAGTGGTTTGATCATGCGACCCAAAGACTGTATATATGTCGCTTCGATATGCCCCACATGGTTGGCTTGCGGGGGCATAGCGTGACGAGCCTTGGCCTTATAGATATATATATATATATACATGGGAGTTGATTCGAGCTGATCGCGGACACAAGCTTCCCACATGTTGGCAGCAAGTGCCATTGTTAGCGCCGTTCAAATCGCTTGCAAATTTCAGGCTTCTCAAAGATAGAACATGGCCCAGCCAGTATGCCCCCGAATGGTTGGCGTGGGGACGTATGGCGACGGGCCTCGGCCTTGAACATATGTTTTGCTTCGGGCTGATCACCGACGAATCACCAACACCAGTGATCAACATGTTGGCAGCAAATGGCGCTTTGCGGTGTATACATCGTTAGTCGTTAGCTGGCAAATTCCAGGCTTCCCCAAGATAGAACATGGCCCAGCCAGAGCGTCTGTCAAGTGGATTGATCCTGTGACCCGCCAAAGACTTTGGGTCATTTTGATACGCCCGCAAATAGTTGGCCTGGGACACTAGCTTCCAACATGTTGGCAGCAAATATCGCTTTGTGGTACATGGTTAGAACGCTTCAAAGCGATTGCAAATTCCAGGCTCCCCAAAGATAGAACATAGCCCAGTAAGAGTGTGTGTCAAGTAGTTTGATCGTGGGTTGACCCAAATAATCTGCTATGGTTTGATATGTCCCCAAACAGTTTGCTTGGGAATTACGACAAGCAACAGTTAGTCCAATAATGTCCAATAACTGTCAATCTAATCAACTGACGCTCCTGGTCAGCCATATTCTATCTTGTAAACCAGCATATTCTCAGCGAAACATAGACATGAACAAGCGTACTCGGCATCAAACTCAGGCTGTATGTAAGGTGCATACGGCGTGTTCTATCTTTAGGAAACCTGCAGCTGTTCAGAAACAATAGGGTGGTTTATACGTTTTCGCACGTGTCGACATGTTCTATCTTTCGAAATCCTAGGATGTTCTAACTTAGAGAAACGGATGTTCTATCTTTAAGCAATCCGCGGGCCAAAAACACTTACGGATTTCCCAAATGCATGTTCTAACTTTCGACACCTGATTATACAGTTGCCTATGTCGTTGTTGACAGCGCAAAGCGCGCAGACGGTTCAGATGGTGCAGGCAGCGCGCACGGCGCAGGGCACCCACAACGCAGACGGCGCAGATGGCGCAAATGGCGCAGACAGCGCAGATGGCGCAGATGGCGCAGACGGCGCAGATGGCGCAGATGGAGTGACGGCGCAGACAGCGCAGACGGGGCAGACGGAGCAGACGGCGCAAACGGCGAAGGCGGCGCAGTCGGCGCAGACGGCGCAGACGGCGCAGACTGCGCAGACGGCGCAGATGGCGCAGATAGCGCAGGCGGCGCAGACGGCGCAGACGGCGCAGCCGCAAGTGGAGATACGCTTTCCGCCTACACTGAAATATTCTCTTCGGAGCTGCCCCTCTGGGAATGTTCCTTTGGAATTCTTTCTTTGGAATTATCCCATTGGTATCAAATTGGAATTGTGCTTTTGGAACTATCCCATTGGAATGTTCTCTGAAAGTTATCCCATGGGAACTATCCCTTTGGAAATTTCGCTTTGGACATGTCCCTTTGAACGTTTCCCATTTTAGGTTGCTTCTCGAATTCTCCCGTTGACGTTCCTTCTTTGGAATTGTCCCTGTGGAATCATCCCTTTAAATTTTCCCTTTGTAATTTTTCTATTGAAACTGTCCCTTTGGACATTTCCCTATCGCCTTTCGAATTTTCCCACTGGAGCTCTCCCTTTGGAGTTCTCCCAGTGGAAACGTCCCTTTGCAATGCTCCCTTTCAAACTTCCTCTCGGAAGTACCCGTTTGGAATTGTCGCTTTGGAATTGTCCCAGTGGAGCTATATTCCTTTGGACAGTTGGTTTCCTGTGGACTTATCGCATTTGAATTCTCGAATGTGACGCTTCCCCAGCAGGATTCTCGCTTTGGAGCTTTCCCCTCGCAACTATCTCATTGGATTTCTCCCTTTGGGACTGTTCCTTTGCAAGCTTCCCGTAGGACATGTGTCCCATTGGCCTTTTCTTTTTGGATTTCTACTATTGGAACTTCAGTATTTTCCCATTGCATTTTTCCATTCTTTGCCATTGGAAGTCGTGTTGGGGTTTTCCTGCTGGAGTTGTTCCATTGGAGTTTTTGTATGGGATCTTCCCACTGCAATTCTTCCATCTGTTTTTGTAACTCTCGCATTGGGCCTTTTCCTTTGATTGGAAGTCTCCCACTAAAATTATCTCCTTGGAATGTTTCCATTGGAAGCTTCCCATTTGAGTTTTCCCCATTTGACGTTCTCCGTTTGGCTTCTCTCAAAGGAGTTCTCCCATTGCTTTGCATGTTTTTAAACTTTCCCACGTGACATTTCCGATTAGACTTTCCCATCGCCTTCGGAGATTGGATTTTTCCCGTTGGGATTGCTCCTTTTGGGCTTGTGCCACTGGAAAGCTCCCATTCAAATGTCCCTTTGGCATTTTCTCTTTGGCGTTCCCCCAGTAAAATTTCCTTGAAATGCTCACAATTTTCGATTGGAGGTTCCCCCTGGGTTACTGCAAAGGGAAAGTAGACAGTGAAACGCATCATGCGCAGGGCAAGTACAGAGTGAAATGACTATGCATGCGCAGGGAAAGTACACCGCGAGACGCATAGAGTCACGCATAGGGAAAGCACACAGTGAAACGCGTGGCGATTTTGCACTCCTTCGCGCAGGAGCAAAACTTGCACGCTAACTTTTAATTAGTGTCTTAAGGCGGCGCAGTGGGACCAAGCGCGCTCTGCGAAAATGAGACCCTTTCACGGATCGGCGTGATCGATGTGCAAAGACTATTGTTTTGCGATTTTCAACTTGCCCGCGCGACCCTCTGCGGGGATCAGCGTGGTCGATGTGCAAAAAACTGTGAACTTGCCCGATCGGCGTGGTCGATGTGCAGAAGCTGAGGGCTTTTCACGATTCCTGCCGTGTGCGGCCCTCTGCGCGGATCGGCGTGGTCGATGCGCAGAGACTAAGATTTTTTTGGCTTGCGGTTTCCGACTTGCCCGTGCGACCCTCTGCGGGGGTCGGCGTGGTTGATGTGCAAAAACTGTTTTTTGTTGCGATTCTTGCGGTGCGCGCGTTGCCCTCTGCCGGGATCGGCGTGGTCGAGGTGCAAAATCATGTTTCTTTGTTGTTGCGATTCTTGCCGCGCGCGCGACCCTTTGCAGGGATCGGCGTGGAGCTTGCGCAAAAATGTGGTTTGTTCGCGTTTTCTTGCGGCGCGCGCGCGCGACGCTCTGCGGGCATTGGCGTGGTCGAGGTGCAAAAGCCTGCTCTGCGCTTGCGACTATCTGCGTAGATCACGCATGTCAAATCGCCCTTGCTATGATACATCTTCGCAGTCTGCGCGCGACCGTCTGCAGGGAGCAGGCTGCAAAGTCGCAACTTTTAAGCGCAAAAGTAGTACGCGAAGCACGTCCCACAGCTCCGCAGCAAAGTCAAAGAGTAGACAGTGAAACGCATAGAGGCACGCGTAGGGAAAGTAGACAGTGAACTGCATAGCGGCACACGCAAGGCAAGTGCAGAGTGACGTGCGCAGAAGCATGCGCAGGGGAAGTAGGCAGCGCAACGCATAGATAATGGACCGGTTCAGGCTGCGTGTCATGGAACATGCTTTCGGGCCACCCGTCTTCCCAGGAGGCTCCGAGTCCCAAGTTGCCTTGGCTTTTTGAGCTAAGATGTCCTCGGCCACTTGCGCTCATTAGCCCCCGCAAAGCCGTGAAAGCTCAGCCGAACGGCCGTGATAACCCGCGCGGGAAACTGAAAGGCAGTTACTACTTCGTGAAAAACTTGAAAACTCGTGAAATTTCACGCTCTGAGTTATCTTGTCCTCACGACACCAAAAACCTTCTTAGCTCTAAGTAACTCGCGAATCGTAGCCTCCTGGTCTAGTTTCTGTCGAGTTGTCGCGTTGAAACTTTCTTTCTGGGAAGGGCTCTTTACATGTTTCCCAGTGGTCTTGCTGGGTTCGAAGAGTGATCTTCTGTACGGGAACCTTAGGATGATGGAAACGGCGATTTTGGAGAAGACAATCATCAAGTCCTGGCCTCGGAGGGAATGCGCAAGTGCTCCAGACAGGGCTTGTGATTTGACCTAAATTGGGCCGCAGCGCCTGAGGAAATGGCCAAGCAGCTTGAAACAACTTCCTTTTTCCAGCAACGCCAGTCATACTTCACAGAACTGTCTACTTGAGTTGTCAGCGAGGACGGCTCTTGCTGTTAGTTGTGTCTAGTGCAGAAAGAACTGACCAGCACATACTCCTCAGCTGATACTGGCTGCCAAGCTTCAATGTCCGCGCCTCAGGCTTGGGTCCTTGCTGGCTTTGGGCTTCGGAGAGGCGACATGTAGGTGGCCATATGAAACAGGAGGTGGGTTGCTGACCACATGGGTATGCCTTTCGTTGGGAACATTGCCCCAGCTCTGCTTCTTTCTCAATGGGCAGATGCTTGCTCATCACCATCACCAGGCATCGGCGTCACGGCCGTCATCACAAGCATGATCGTTGTCATTATCAGCAGCATCTGCTGCACCGTCATCGCCATCATTGTCAACAGCACTGTCGTCCTAATTATCGCGTTTGCGTCACGGTGTTTGTTTGCCATCAACTCCTCAACATTACAATCTTGATTCCTCCTCCTACTCCTTAGCATCCTGGCCACAGTACTCATGAACTAATCGTTTTTATATTCACAATCTATGTGCTGTAAGACGCCCTTGCCCATTTAACGGCCATAATGAGAACGACGAGGATGATGATGATCATGACGAGGGTGATGGTGATCATGGCGAGGCTGATGATGGTGACGACTACGACGGCCAGGAGACGATCGTAGGATGGCGCTGATGACGAGAAGGATGAGGACGATGATGGTGATGATGCTGACTTTGATGTCGATGATTGCGCGACGATGATGATGATGATGATGATCATTGATGATGTTGCGGATGCTGATGCTGATGATGTTGCTGTAGCTGATGGTCGTGCTGCAGGTGGTGCTGGCGTGACCTTGGTGATGATGACGATGATGACGATGATGATGATGCTGGTTCTGATGATGATGATCTTGGATGTGACAGACGCCAGTGATTGTGATGGCGATGGCGAAGACCAGTGATTGGCAGCCAAGGTGGTGATGCAGGTGATAGTGACGGTGACAATGTTGAAGTTGTTGCTTGTGGTGAGGGATGATGACGGCGATCGTGGTGGCGGTGGTGGTGGTGGCGGCGGGGGGTGGGGGGGTGGAGGGCGGGGGGCGGGGGGTAGGGAGGGTGAATCCCAAACCAATTGTGGTTACAGTCTCATTCGGGCCCGGGAAATTTAACAGGATCCGGCAATGTACCAATAATGGATGTAGAGACTGCTGGATAGTCCGGTTAATAGGTGCTCCGTTGTTGCCCCTGTGGTTTCGCAATGATTCTTCTTTTTGATGCGATTGTGAAAGCAAGAAAGGCCTTGAGCCAAAATGGTTGTGGGAAGATCAACGGTCTAATGCGAAGCAACAGCAAACACGAAACAGGCTCAACTTGCTTTTGATCTTGCGCACCAAACTAGCACGCACGTGTAAACATTTATACTGGCTTTGCCTTTTGCGCGGATTTTGTTCGTCCGGCAAATGGAAAATATTGACAGGCGCAACGCAAGTTGGAATCGAATTTGCGCACATGGTTGGTCGGCAAAAGAGACACACACTCGTATCTAAAATGCTGCATCTTTCTCGACTGATGCTCGCTGAAAGCAGAGGACAGGATTGTCCTGTGAGACTATCGGTTCTCTTGCTGCATGAAGATAGTCTTGTAGACGAGGAGGTTATATCGATATAAAAACAGTCTTGTCGTCGACAAGGTCAATGGCAAAGACTCAGCGAGGACATCAATTGGTTGGGCGTATCGAGGTTCCGTTTTCGGGCGTGTTGAGCGTTGCCGCTTCTTGTCCTCGTAGCTGCTCTCCGATGCGGTTGCGGAACAGTCTGCAGGGGCTGCCAAGTGCTCTTCTTGTTCTAATGATCCTTGGTCTTTTGCATGTTTCTCTGCTTGGCTTCGGATCGACTCCGGACGTACACCATGAGCAGGAGGTGAGTTTCTCCGTCACCTGTTCCATTCAGGAACATCTCGCTGGTGAGGTGCATGAACCTCTTCGCTGAAGAAACCTGGGTGTTGTCAGCTTCGAAATTGGTTTGGTCGTCAGGTGTCATCAGGCCGTATTCTCGTTGTCGTCCTGTGTCCTTCCCCAGCCAAAGACGAATGTGACCATACAACCTGGGAAAGTCTTGTCATAGTGGGATCCAGTCTCTGTACGCAGATACATTGCGCAATCAAGACGGTCCAGGGATGGCGCTGCTGCAGTGTCGTTCCACGTCATCTGGGAAAAGTTGATAGCTGTTGGAACTTGCTGAAGCTGTTCCCCGGTAATCGCATCGCCAAAGCCACGTTCTGGTGAGGCCTTGATTTTTGGCGTCAGCTTCAATGCCTGTGCTGGCTTGAGCTGTGCTGTTGCCGGTCAGGACTGCCTTGATCAGCTCGCCGGCTTTGGCCGAACGCATAGTCAAAGAAATCTGCGAGGCAATCTTAACTTCGTACATGTGCAATGTCGTGCATCTGTCTGCTATTGCTTTCCTTCCGCGACACCCGAATCAAATGCATGGTTTGTTTCTGCTCAGGTTGATGGGTTGTCAGCAATTTCACTTGGAATTTCTGACCACCAGAGACCGCGAAGGAAGGGTGATGAAACGTAGCAACGCACCAGTCCGTGCAATTCAGCAACTGTGGTGGACATGGTTGCAGCGGTGATCTTACGCGTCTCATATTTGGTCAGAGAACCCCTCGAATTCGATGAGCCCTTGCGAAGGTTATTGCGGTGGATGCGTCAGGATAGCTCTAGATGCGCGTCGCGAGAGTTGGTAACCAATGTGGAATTGCGTTCGCGGCTGTGCCCAATTGATCTGACCTAGGACGCTTCTGTACTGTGTGCAGCATGCGTCTGAGGTGTCAGCGGGGTGTCATCAGCTTCTTGTCAAACGAGATCTCCTGAAGTTCGTCGATGGCAACAGTCTGGTCGTCATGCTTCCACTGGACGCGTTGGCCTACGAAAAGGCAACCGCTTTTGTCTTCGGAGCCAACTTGAAAATCTTACGAAGTTGTCCCATGGTTCCCTTCTCAAACACATCGTTACCGGTCACAAGAAGATCGTCTACGTGAAGAGAGAGTTCTCCATGAACTTGTCGATTCTGGGCGTTGTTACCGGAAACAGGCTCCATAGGGTAATCAACTGCGCCTTCTTAATCCGCACAAATTGGATGATTTCTTTTCACGGATCGATGTGGATTTCCGAAGCTGTCTACCGTACTAAATGTATGTACATCGGTCTGCTCGTGTCGGCGCGAGTTCATAGGACCGAACTGCCGTTTCTAGGATTTTCCACCATCTACGCTCTGCATGCGTGCACCGATGTATGATGGATAAGGTGATAATGTCTCGATTCTGATTGTAGGCCTCTCCTTGGAGGAAGGCAGTCCTCAGATCCATGTGAAAGATGTCCCAGCCTTTCTGCTGCTTGGATTGCTAGGCGGAAACCACTCCTGGATGCAGCAGGGCTGTCTGTCAGCTGCTCGTCCTCTGCTTGTTCCTGGAACCATCGGAGGACCCAGCAAGCCTTGGTCTTCAGAAGTTGCTTCAGGGTAAGGACGCAACGACGGTGACCCAATTCCTGACCTTGATTGTCCGTGTGTCGACTAAGTCGAGCACTTTGTTATCAAGGCAAGATTGGCAGTTGGTTGTGACAGGCTGTAGTCCCGCTGTAGCTTCCTTCAGCTTCTTCCCAACCAGTGCGGATGTTGTAGAAGCCTTCAAGGATTCTTGCTTGGACGAGCGCAAGACTAGAAGCGCGCGGTCGTCGTCCGTCAACCAGTCCACGTGGTTCTTGTCGGCGTTTTCCTGACGCGAAAAACGGTGCCTTTTACTCTTCTAAGGTGAACAGGGTTTTGCTTTGAATGTCTCTCAGAGCTGCCTTCTGAAGTTGGTACATGAGGCGTGAGTTCATCCTCACTACTGGGAAATTCATTGGATTTTACAGATTGACTTGGAAGAGGCAGGCTCGTTCCACTCGAGTGATTGGTCATCTGGCTTCTTCATCTGCCTTTTGCCCGCAGGATTCCCGTACGGCTTTTCGTGAGGCGGCAGCGATGGCGGATTTGGTGACACACCGTGTGGTTGATCTGGCGGTGGCGTCGGATTATCGGGTTGGTCAGGCATATCTGGGGCATCCTGCGGAGGATCCGGCATGTGTTGGCCCGGTCGACTTGGAGGTCTTGTTCTTGGACCAAAGTCTTCCCAGAACGCAGGCGCGACCCAAATTCTGTTCACCTGACCAGGTTGCCAAAGAGCTATGTGTGCATCGTCCGGAGGTGGTGTGAGCGTCATGTTGATGCCCGCTGCTTGGACGCGTGCTGCGCGTTGGTCATACTGAGTGGATGACGCGCGCAAGACCCTCGCTTCTTGCAGCCGCTCCACATGTTATAGCATCGCCAGTCATTTGGATCTTGTCGGAAAAGTCAATCAGTGTCTGGCGGGTACTGCTTCATTGTCTTCTGTAGCTTCTGGACTAGCGGATCTTGGCTCAAAGTTGTATTTGAGAAGGTACGCCCGCATTGTCGAGCGGTTTCACTTTAAGGTGTCGCAGGGTGATGCGTGCGAGATCCTGGCTGAACTGGTAAGGGTAGACCTCTGCCGTTTTGTTCTGCTCCAATTCGGGCACGTTCTTGTTAAGGTCCCTGGACCTGTTTCAGGAGGATCCAATGATGTCCCAATAATGGATGTAAAGATTACTGGTATCCCTGGTAAATAGGTTTGCAGTGGTTGTCTCTGTGAGCGTACCGCAAGGTTCTTTCTCGTTGATGCGGAACCACGCGCGTGGTTTCAAAAGAAGAAAGACCTGCGCGCCAAGGGTGCGGGGGCGCGGCGAAGGGTGCAGGTGCGTGCCTACACATCCCGTACCGCGTGCCCGCGTCACAGACGCGCGCCCTACCGTCGCACCCGCGCCTCGCACCTGCCGCACGTACCTTGTTTTTTGAGTTTTCATCACACAATGCGCACTATTGTTGAAACTAGCTAACGCTAACAAGAAGATTGCGCAGAAGCAGCGTGACTTGTTGGAAACTGACTGAAAAGCTCGTTCAAGCCAAAGACCATGCCAACAAGAAAAAGGACTCTGCAGTTCTTTTGGAACTCTCCAAAAGTTGTGAACCGTGATTTGATCTACGTCAAAGAGGACAGCAGCGCGCACGAGTTCGATCGATGCCGGTATGGTCTCAAACAGGTGCCGCAAGGCCGTGGCGGGTGGAGTCGTTGAACTTTGATATGCGGGAATCCCTTTCAAAGCGTTGCTGCGAGAACCATTCTCACACCGTGTGCCGGAAAACAACTAGGGATACACTGTACACTTCCATAATTGTCACTACCATTCTGCGGCGTTTCAGCGCGCGAGCGAAGGGTTTCCTAGCGCCACCATTTTCGCTGCACCGTGTGTGAAGAAGAGGATTGCACTGACAAGACCAACTGCATCAGCTGGCGTCGGGCTTCCTCTACCTGTGCGAGAATTAGCGGAGGAAGGAGTTGCGGGCTAGTCCCCTTTCCGGAACTCTGTCTGGGAGATCAGTGAAGAAGGCGTTCCACGTCACACAAGCCGAAATGGTCCTGGGTCTGATACAAAGCAACAAGAAACACAAAACACAGGGTGGTGGGCTGGTGGTGGTGGTGGGGGTGGTGGTGTCGGGGTCAGTGGTGGCGGGGGGGTGTGGAGTGGTGGTGGGTGGTGGGGGTGGGTGGTGTGTGGTTGGTGGTGGTAGGTGGCGGCGGGGGTGGTGGTGGTGGCGGTGGTGGCGATGATGGTTGTGGTGGCGGCGGTGACGGTGGCGGTGTGGCGGCGCCGGCGGCGGTCGCGGCGGCGGTGGCGTTGGCGGCGGCTAATCATTCAGAGATCGCGCGCTGCCATCCAGTAGCAGTCCTTGCTGTCAAAGCCATGGGTCGTTTCGAGACTGGAAGCCAAAGCCACAGATTTGCCATGCCATTATTCGCAACATTGTTGGGAAGATCTCTTGCGCGCTGAGATTGCAGATGTGTGCAGCTAGCCACTGCGGGCCATCAGTGGGATGTTCTTAGGGTCAGCCAGCTGGGATTTAGATGGATTTGGCCACTTTAAGTCAGAGAGCTTTCGGGATGGCGGACCCGGCTGGGTAGGAGGATCCTACGATTGCTTTCTGAGTTCGGGGTTCTTAAAGCGCATCGAATGTTTCCACATTTTGGACTGCGGATGTCGTTCTGCCCAAGAAGGCAAATGAGCAAAATCAAGTCGCAACAAGGCCGCTTGATACGTCGCCAGCCGCTGTTTGACAGGCCGGGGCGAGCATTGTCGCGGACAACATGCAGGGCTTGGATTCCGCCGGCGTGAACGCGATGGTTCCAGGCCAACTGTAGTTTAGGCGATGGGGGAAGCAAGGGGGAAACCCAAGAACGACTGAGAAACACCCTGCGACCGCAGAGTGAAAGCCAGACACTGAACAATGAGTTCAGATTATCCACAAGCAGCCCCGCATCGTTGCAGGCAGCCGTGTGGACTGCATCGTTGGCTCTGCCTGCATTCGAGATTTCAGCACAGCGACGGAAGTGCTGCAAGGGAAGGCCTTGGGGCGAAAGCGGGCACATGTTGGAAACTAACCAGCACGACCCAACACAGGTTCCATCTGCATCCCAAATTTCCAATCTGTTGAACGCTGGTGAAGCCAACGGAACACCCGGAGTCTTCCTTTTTAGATTCAACAACCAAAGATCAGTGCCACGTGGATGCACGTGACAGGTTCCACAGTCCCTCTTGCCCGCCCAGACATGGTAAGCGTGATGAAACCATTTGTTTTTTCCTTTGACAAAAAGAGCAGTGCTGAGATTGATTCCCGCAAGGTGATGACATTTGTCAATCAAATAGCGGAGATTGCTGCATTCCCAGTGTGCCTCCAGTACTGGGCGCATTTCAGGTGCCAGTGGTTTGCGCTTCTGCAACCAACGTGGTTTCACGTGCGGAGTGATGGTCACGTTGAGCTTGACTGAGGTCCATGGACTCGTTTGCGAATTTCATGGCGCTCCCAACAAAAACAGCGGCTTCCGGCTCAGCTTCTCACCGGATGTTTGGCGTCTTGCGGCTTCTGGCTGCTACCCTCCCACCATTGAAGTTGCCATAGCGCAGCTGTGTCGCGGTGCCACTGAGGTGATCGGTTTTTGCTGATCTGGAGACTTTGCGGCCCGGAACTCGACAATCCGAGTGCGTCACGTGCAGGAAGCCGTGTGGAGTTTCGGCTTTCTTTGCCCTATGTAGATTATTATGTAGGCATTTGCGTTGCGCCACAGTCGTGGAAGCCCGTGGAAGCTACGTGGAAGGGTTTTGTCCGCGGCCAACAATCAAGCAGCGTGTGTTGAATGACGAAACTGAGGCATGTGCCGCAGATATCCCTGCCCTTTCCCACCACACGCCCTCTTAGTGACCGCGAAGCCGTTTGCTTCTGCAATCAGCAGCAGCGTCCCCAATCTTGGAGGAAGTCTGCGTGGGAGGAATCCTGGGAGCTTTCAAATGGCTCACGGCTTTTGTGGCTTGTGCTGTGCTGCAACAACGGCAACCGCAAGAAATGCCTCAAAAACGCGAAGAAGTGGTGGCTCGAGCAAAACTGCCAAAACTGGTCGCGGAAGTGAATGGCCTTCGCCGCAAACTCATGTCCGCGGAAGCAGGCGGACGCCTACCCGAATGCTTCGCGGAAGGTGCCCCTGCAGGCTGCAGCCGAAGGCTGAACCGTTTCATAGTACGAACTATAAGGGAATAAACGACACTCATTCGGACACGTTCTCACAGCTCAATCAAGTTGTTCAAGAACGCATTCAACAATGTTTCCCACCGACCCATTGGCAGTCGCCCTGGGCTTGCTAAGGTCTGAACGAAGAGCAGCAATCGCGGATCTCAGATATGGCTATGGTGTCCTGTGTACGGACCGGACGTTGGGCGGAGCAGGGGCTGATCGATTGTGGCTGCCTTGAACGAGCTTCTGCTCAGAACTTTATGGGCTCCTGCCAGATTCATAAACTCTTGGTAGAGCCAAACTTCAATGGGCTTTTCAAGGTACGGCAAATTGAGACGCCTTGCGCAGCCAAGTCTCCATCTCCACCCCACACAGCTAGGGGCTGTCGAGTCGTTTTTCGTAGGGCTGGGAACAGGCATCATGCCAGTTTGAAACAAAGTCAGCTCAGCTCAAGACTGGTGCAATCATTGCAGAGGGTGCCTACGCAATGCGAACTGGGCAATTCCGTACCCAAGCAGTTTACATATGTTGACAAATGAATGCCAACAACGTTCATCTTGAACTAATACATATCCCGTGAAAAGGTGGACAATGTGAACGGTCAGAAAATCTTCACAATAATGTGAGGTTTCTGTTTTAGTGTTGCTTTAGACTTAGGAATCAGGATTCCAGGATTCCAGAAGAAATTCAAGCGGAGTCCAGAAGTGATTGTTTTGCTACATTCCCCTTTCTCTAAGATTATGTTTTATAAGTTTGGGGATGGGCCAGACGAAGCAACACTTTGCGGGGTGCATTGTATACAGCGGTCAGACGCGGCGGCCCGGACTCAAGGAGGATTGTTGACCCTGGGTTGACATTTCCTGGCATGCAGCGATTGGCTCCGTACATTTTGCAGAAGACTTGATTGGTGAGGATTTTGGGCTGTGCCCACAGCAACAAGACCCTTGCAGACTACCGCACTCATCCTGGTCTCGGTCTTAGATGAAGCGAATGAATTGTCCCATGCCCGGGCCGAGCAGGCAAAAATGTGAACATGTTATCAGATTTGCTGATGCTAAGCGCGCCAATGTATGACAACTCAAAGTGGAAACTGATCCAGTTCGTTTGCCAGTTCATGTCTCCAGGCCTAATCCAGCGCTTGGGCGCTCACTGCCGAGTAAACCTCAGCTTTGGGTTGCATCGCGGCTGGGCAATTGAGGCCAGGTTGGAAGCTTTGATCTACTTGGATTGAAGATGATTTCATGGCCCCGCATCTCTTCTGACTTCACGGCCCCCAAGTTCTGAAACAGGTGGGTAGATTTGGTTCCGGCATGCTGAATATTGGCGGAAGGGCTGGGCTTGTCACTAGGAAATAGCCACCAGAGCAGAGATTCCAAGAGCCTTGGGGCCTTTGCTGTCATACCGCTCGCAGGGTGCAGTGGGCAGCGAGTTCAAGATTGATGCGTGACAGCCTCGGCCTGGATCGTTCCTCTGTTGAATTGAGGCATCCAAAGGACTTTGCTCAGTTTACTGCGATCCCGACCAAAGTGTCTTCGCAATGGCCCACGAACGGCAGGTCCTACCTGTCGCCCAATGTGAGCATTGCGGAGAGCTTGGAGCACGCCACAAAGGTGCCAGCTTTGCACGGTAGCCTCAGTGCAAGTGGGTCACCAATTGAATACAGCCAATTCCGCTATTCTCTCGTAACACACGCCGCTCAGATTTTGCAAAACCACCGCGTGTCATTCAGATCATAGCGCGCCGTCGTGGGCGGCATTTTTCAGGCATGATGGTCCACATCTTCAGGGCGTCATTGATTGCATGTGCGTAGGCATTGACTGGCAGGGCCGGTTATTGTAAGCCGCCTTGGCCAGGCTCAAAAGAACCGCAACGGCAACGCGGGCTTGAGCGAACGATGCCAGGGCTGAGCAGTTTGGTGGGCTGATTTCCCGGAACTTGAACTCAAGCGGCGGGGGGCTGCGGCTGGTGCTCCGCTCCGTAAACTTGGCTGTCTTGAGTCAGGGCCCAGCCCCCAGGCTTGTTCTGCCGCCGGCCGGGGCGCATTGGTCATAAACATCTCGGGCGCCAAGTCGCCAGCCCTGCCCAAGTTCGTGCAGCTGCAAATGAGTCTGGCTTGTGAAGCTGGCAGAGGCCGCAAATTGCGGGGCTGATTCTTGGTGCAGCCGAGCACGGGCTCGCTTGAAACTGGGTTTTGAAACGATGTGGGCGAGGGGAAGAATAGTTAAAGTAGGGGCCTGGAGGGTTGCATTTTCTCGCTTTTATGTTCATCTCAAACCTGTTGACACCCTTTTTCGTTTTGTAAAGAGGGTTTTTGGGGAGGTGATGTATCGTTTTGTTAGAGGTTAGACATTTGGGTGTGTTTCCCCTGTTTCATTGTTGGTCTGGGGAGTGACATTTTGTTCATTTGAAAGAGTTAGGGTTTTTAGTAGTTAAATGTTCTAGGCTGTTGGTGGTACATTTGTTTTGACATCGTGTTTGTCATTGAAAGTTTTTATAGGTTATAATTATAGTATAATGAGAGGTTTAAAAAGTTTACAGTGTTTAATCAGTATATTTTTCAATTTGGGACATACATATTTCAGTTTCGGAATTACATATTTCAACTTTGGAAGTACGCCACTAAAACCATTTCGTTTTCATTCTTGAAATACATATCCCCATTTCTGAAATACATATTTCCATTTCAGAAATAGACGCTTCGGTGTCCGAAATCCCTTTCAGAAATTGCCGCTTCGGTGTCCGAATTCCCTTTCAGAAGTAACCATTTCGGTCCCGAAATCCATTTCAGAAATGGACGTTTCGATGACGGAAATCCCTTTCAGAAATAGCCGTTTCAACTTGCTTATTACATTTTCTGATGCTAAAGCAAACAAAACAATAATATCACTGACGAACTCGGACGGAATTTAATACAAGTCTTCCTGCAAAAGAATTATAGGATTATCGCCCCACTCCGCCTGAGTGTTTGGTGGCATGCATTGAGCAGTTTCTAAATGTTTCCCCTTCCTAACCTTCCCACAATCCGTTTTACATGATGGTCTAGGTTTCCAAGTTCAGTGTTAGTCCACAACCTCGTGCGCTTCCTGTAATTACTCCCATATTTTTCAGTAATCCACATCATGATATTTCAAACCATTCATGAAGGGTTGTTCCTTCCAAAGTGCAGTTTGAGGATTTTTCTATTATCCAGTATTGACAATTGAAACACCTTGTTACCTCCAAAGTTTTCAAAACCATACTACTAGCATAGTCCATTTTCCTAGCCAGCGGCGTGGAAACCGTACCCGCATTTTGCTTGTTTTTGCAGTTGGGGGGGGTGGGGGGGGCGGGGGGGGGGGTGGGGGGGGGGGGGAATGGTGTCGTACATCGTTTACAGCTGCGGACTGGCCGTGCCGTTTTTGCATTGGCGTTGGTCTTACTTCCGCGCCTGTGTCGATCTCTTTGCCTGCGTCTGCCCGCCCCAATTTGACTTTGTGGTTCCTTGCTGCGACGCTGCGCGTTGACCCTCGCCGGCCTCTCTCTGTGGACTGTCTGGCGCTGCACCTTCCCTTCTTGTGGGGAGCTTGGGTCAAGGCTTGGCGTCGCACGGAGACATCTCGCGCGTTGTCTTCGCGCGCTGTGCTCTCCTCTGCTCTCTGCTGTGTTTGTTGTCTCTCGACGTTTGCTGCAGCGGTTCCCGGGCCGCAGCTTGACTTTGCCAGCCATGGCCACCGTTGGCACAGACACTCATTTTTTGGGTCCATCTGCTTAGCTCTTTTTGTTCTAGCCTGCAGGACTCTCCGTCGCCGAGCGCGCAAAGCCGGCCGGAGCATGCAGAAGTTGCAGGGCGTGAGCAGGAAATAGGAGACTATAGCCAGACTGGAGGGTCTGGCGCTATTTGCGCGCGTGGTTCCGCATCCTGGCACGCAGGGGTGGCCAACTACTCGCACCCAGATGGCCAGCACTGGGAGCTTGGCGATGCTCTCGGATTGGAGCTAGACCAGGACCGAACGAAAAGAGACATGAGTCATGGCTTGTCTTTTCCCGTTTCTTTGACACATGCGTAGGTTTCGCGCGTCTGCGAACAACTTCATCACAATCATGCGTCTTTGCCTTTCCGGGTGGAATGCTTCCGACACGCACTCACGCGTGCACATCGACACACACGCCCGTGCACGTAGGTTGAGGATGGCCGGGCACTCAGGAACGTGCGTACACACGCACACACCGGCGCACAAGCGCACGTTCTTAGCGCTACACACACACTGAGCACACCCGCGCTCACGTGCACTCGCTTTGCGGTACACGCGCGGGGTCATGCTGCCGAGCTCAGAGCTCTTTGGACAGAGACTTTTTTGGGAAGAGAAACTAGTTTTTGGCCTAAGCCGTGCCCGCGCAACGCGCACTTTGCGCAATCTGAGCAACCCGCCTCTGTGAATCGACCACGCCCGCGAAACAATTGGGGAACCTGTGCCACATGTCAGCGTGCGCTGACGCCTCACATCATGGGATCCGGAAAGCAGCCCGGCTGCACGCCGCCACTTCTTTCCAAAAGCGTGGCTTTGTTTCTTGGCAATGGTTTGTTTGTGCGAGGCATGAAGACCAGATCCGCCTCATGCGCAGTCGGCAAAATGCATTAACCCTCAGGAAACCCTCAGGAAACCCTGAGGAAACCTAAGGAAACCCTCCACGCGCATCCGCAAACCCGTCGGAAACCCTGGTATCACGAGGCTTTCCCGATAGAGCGGGTCAAAGAGGCGACCCGCCACATGCTGGTGATATCCGGCAGGCTTTGAAGCGCAACAGGTGATGTGTGCAACAGCTGTGTGGAAACCACGCGTCTGCTTGTTTTTAAGCCCTCTCTAAGGCACACTGACATAGAGAATCCGCTGCCTGGGCGTGCTTAAACTGGGGTTTTGGGAACGCCCTTTGGTTGCGTTTTGGAACAAGCCTTTGGTTTTGGGAACACCCTTTGGTTGCGTTTTCGGAAGCACCTTAAACTGGCGTTTTGGGAACGCCCTTTGGTTGCGTTTTGCAACAATCCTTGGGTTTTGGGAACACCCCTTGGTGGCAATTTCGTGAAGCACCTTAAACTGGGGTTGTGGGATCACCCTTTGGTTGCGTTTTTGGAAACGCCCTCACTGAGATTACTGTGTCGACACCTCAAATGGCAGACCGATCCTGAACATTCGCATGTCACGCTCACTTGTGCCCGCCTGGCAGCCTTGGTCAGCAGATGCGCTCAGTTCACCATGCAGTTGAAAGCAAGGCTGCGGCCTTTGGTGTGCTTTGTGCAACACTAGATCAGTGCTCCCAGGCCTACAAGCCTGATGCTGCAATGCCATCTAGCCAGGTGGCTGCCTGAGGAGCGCGGGCAGGAAGACTTCAGCGCGGTCTGCGTTGTCCTGACTGTGGTTTATAGCTTGCGCCGCTCTGTCCGGGGTGTGAAAAATCTTGCAGCCACTGCTCCTAGATGATGTAGCTGTGGAACATTCTGTGTCCTTCCGCAAACGAATTCGCATGGCGTGGGGAGCGGGCTCGCGAGAGCCAGCTGCAACGCTGAAGCGTCTGCTGACTTTGATTTTGGAGCACATGCGCAGTCATGCCAATCTATGGGCTGCCAGCGAGCCGTCTCAGATGTTGTTTCAAGGCTGGACCGCCTATTCAGAAGACATGGTGTTGATGCTGCGGACCCTGGGTCCTCTGGAGCTGTTAGCTAGTTTTCGACTGGCCGCAGCTATATGGAAAAGAGTCGGGTGACATAGAACTGTCTTGCTCCAAGGTTGTTTGTGTGCACCACATGATGCATAAACTTCGGCTTTCCCCGCGGCTCCAGTGCATGTTTTTTCGTTTGGCTTTTGAGCTAAGTGCAACGCGCAACAGAACCAGAGAAGGAAGCAGAAGCAGAGGCAGCCGCGAGCCATGAAGTCCGAGAAGGCAGTGAAGCACACTGCTCACCAGATTGCAGCGTACAAACGTCTGCTGACCACGAAGTGGGCCTGGCGTTGCACGCGGTGCCCTTGTGGCGGCGCCATGAAGAAAGTCAAGGTGGCGAGACCCAAGTTACTTGAAAGTGGTTTCTATCAAACTGAGTAGATCCCCATTCAAGTATATCACAGTTAATATCATTTTCTTCAAATCTAACGACAGAACATTATAACCGAGCGACCTTGCAACAACTCCAACTGAAGAAGTACCGTTAAATAGTTCTAATAAGTGCATATATTATTAGAACTATTTAGATATTCTTTTCCAAATTATAACGCTGATGGCTTTAACGCAGTTTATAATGTCCGTAAGGGAATGAAGTAAAGGCATCTAATGTCTTGTATTTTTATCATGTCCGTAAGGGAATGAAGTAAAGGCATCTAAGTATGTTTCACCACACCTTTTGATTTTTTTATCAAATTCATCATACTCACAATGTATTGTAAAAGCGCACGACTTGAGTTGGAGTGCTATGAATTTGGTAATTTTCTTTGAAGAGCACTCAGAGTTTTTCCTTGTTCGTTTTGTCATGACATGGATCTTCTACTTGATAATCGCAAAAGTCCATATATTGGTTTAATTTTTTGAAGTCCTTGCAGACATCATTAGTGAAAGGTTGAATTACTTAACTGTCAGTATCTGT